TGGCTATCAATTTCTTTAGTCATGTTTTCTGCCCTTCTGGCTTGTCTGTGTTTCACATTCTGCATAGAAGCTGATCTGTGGAGATTCCCTATTTCTGCAATCCTCTTTGCAAAGATTATACTCCTGAAAAGCTGCAGTCTGTTTTATAGATATTTAAAGTAAATGTTCTGTACCAGTGACAAGACTGGTGTCAGCCTAGATACGGTTTCCTTTCGTAGCCAGCAAGGAACTATTCACTCTCTCTTTCTAATGGCAGATAGATCATTATGCTTATCTTTTAAGATCTGTTTTTGCTGGAAGATAGATATTTGAATGTGTGTTGGTTGTATCCTGTTAGACATTTCTCTGTCTGTACAGCGTTGCATATTAAGTTCAGATACTTTGAAGTGCTAAGTTATCATTTCAGGAACATGGGATTGTACGGGGGTTCACATGAGTTTCACAAGAATAAACACAAGCACCAGCACCATGACAATAAGCAAGAAATTGAGTAGCAAGTTGAGTCCTCGGTTGTTAGCAAGATCCATGCTCTTCACAGGTCTGCCCTCTTGTGCTTGCAGCTGACTCTTGATTGCAGTTTCTGCTGGTTCAGCTTCTGTAGTAAACAATTGGAATTCACATGTATTTCATCCTGTATCCTCACGTTTTCTACCTGTATTCAGTTTCTGCTACCTAAGAGAAAATTGTTCACAGTAACTAATGACTTAAAATGAACTTTAAACTTTTTGCCAAACTTTCTAAGCTAGCTGCTCTTATCTCCTGTATCTTCATAACTTGCAAGGAACTGATCAGTTCTAAAAGAAATTGCTTTTATGTACCATTTGACTATATTTGAAAATGAAAGAATGTGTGTGGTGCTCTTCAAGGAGCTTTTGGAATGTACTGGTTTATAGCTCCCGAAAGACCTATTTTCTAGTAACAAGTAGCTTAAAATTTCTTTGTTTCAAAAAATGTAAGAATTTTCTAAAATGGGTTAGATGTGTCTTTGCAAATTTAAAAATTCTGTCCTTTTAGGGTTTTCAGCATTGTGGCACAGTCACACCCTTTGTATTTTGCCAACATCGTGCTGCATAAGATTTATTGCTGCTTTTGCAAAAGCCTTATTAAGAATCTAGATAGAGTTGGCAGAGGTTGCAACTTTAGTGCTTTTAATAGCATATGCGCAATAGTTTATTTTAAAATAATAACTTAGCAATTGTAAAAACAAAATAGAAACAAATAGGACTGTTCAACACAGCCTACTAAATACTGCCAAAACTTCATTTTGAAGATAAGCCAGTTTTCCCCTCTATTTCACCAAACAGGAAGGAATTTTGCTTTTGTTTGTTCAATATAGAATTTCAAAAGATATTAGTTTTCCTGTATCTTTTTTAAATGGCATAACTGATTTTTATAAAATAAACAGTCTGGCAAAGCTGCATGCCAAAAATAATAAAACACATTCTTTGAGTCTGGGTTTAAACTTTTAAAAATATTTTAGGAGTTTACTAACAAAGACTGCTGTTGCTTAGAAGCTCCGTACATATTATCAATATGTTTTATTTTTCTATTGTGGTTATACGAAAGGTTAATTGATCTTTTTCCCTTAAAATGAAAATCATAGTCCTTTGATTTATACTTACTTACATTCTCAGTTTCCAGCTACAAAATGCTAAATCTATTACAAGCTGAAGAGTGGGGAAGAGGAGATTAAAGGTAAAAAAGATCTTTGTAATAAGGCATTAAATGGGATTCTCAAAGTTTCTAGGAGCACTTTACAAATATTTTTCTTATTTTATGGGCTAGATTCTGGTAGTAATATTTACCTGTACAAAGCTGTAGCTCTATTATACGTTAAGTGATGGAGTCTGGTAATGAAAGCTTCTGTAGCCCAAATAGGTTCCAATAGGATGTTAATAGATCTGCCCGTAGATGAATTTGGGATTAATTTATTACTATAAGAAGTACTGTATAAACAGATCTATTTGTTGTACTTGGTTTAGTTTCTGTCATGTAAAGTATAGCTAAAAAGCATTTCTGCTTTTAAATTAGTAAATTGAAGGTGAATGAAAATGTGGCTGGCATTTATACTGCTATATGTGTTTGCCCAAAAAGCTATGTACATTTTAGTATATGCCATGCACCGTGTACCTATGCAGCATGGATGGTTCTGCAGTGAGAGTCATTAGTGTTACATAGCTTTGCAAGAGCAGTACTGATTAGGTCTATTCTATACTTGCCTTTTCATCATAAAACTTCTCAATAAGAGGTTTGGCTTTCCTGGTAGGAACAATAATAATGGTTGTAAAAGTAATACAGGATAAACACAATGGTCGTCTCTACCTGCTGGTTTTTAAACTGTCATTATTTTTGTGACCTTGCTGCCCAGACTTGCTCTGTCAGAAAACTAATGCTCAAATGGGTACCCTGAACTGTTGTAAAATGGCTGTACACAGAGGTCCTACAAAATAAAGTTTTTTGTTTTGTTTTGTTTTTTAGGGAAGAGTAATTTTGATTCTGAGTAGTACGATTGTGAGGGACCTTACAGATCATTGGGTTCAGTGGAAGAGAGAACTTCCATTGAATCCAATGATCTGTAAGGTCCCTTCCAGCCCCTAACAACTATGAAGTCCAAGGGGATTGGGGACAGTTAGAAGTTCAGAACTTGAATTTTCCTTTTTGGGAGGACTGATCCAAGATTATCTCTTGTTTATTTTCTTGTCGTGTTTGTAAGAAACTAGCAAAAAGTTGTGTAGCATGTAGTAAAGCAGAATACAGAAACGAAAACTTAATCCAAAGTCATCTAAAGTATTAAGAGTTTTTTTATTGTGCCTTTAAAAAGGGAGTGAACTGTATTCAAACGCACTCTATTGTTTGTATACAGTGATTGGTGAGTGTAATTTAAAATACAGAAATATAAAGAACCAAAAGTTTTGTGCTGATTAGTTTCCTATGGTTTTAATTCATAGTAGATGTTAGAACTAAGTCTTGTGTTTCTAATTTGCATTTGAACATCTTGTTTTTAAACTAATACCATCACTATTAGTAAACAGAAATAAAATACTTTAAAGATAAATATACAAAGAATGAGAATTGTACCCAAATGTGCACAAAAGCTTTATTTTTATCTCTGGGTTTTGTTGGCATTAGTTTTGTAAAAGAAAAAGATAGAAATGTTAGGGCATTTCTTTTTATCAGCAGAACCCTAAGGCCGTTTCTACAGGTGCTCTGGGAGTGGGGGTTGGGTGGGGGGAGAGGGGGGGTTAATTTGAGTAGCTCTCCAAATCTAATTAAAGCACCCAGAGTGTCATGTGTATCAGCATCCCTATGCTGAAAAATGATGGCAGGGTGCTTTAATTAAAGCGCCCCTGCTGCCATTTTTCAGCACGGTGTTGCTGAGATGCATGACGTTGTAGTCTGCTGGAGCTTGGTAATTACCATGCTCCAGCAGACTTCTTTAATCGACAGTTTTTTCGCTTGATTAATCAAGTCTGCTCCAATGCACTGTAATTACAGTGTGGCAGAGCAGCCTCGCTGCACGTGTATAGGCATCCTATGACATAAATGCGACCTTACAGTACACGCTACATACGAGCATTGTTGTCAAATGGTTGGAGGGTTTCCAGTTTCTTAAGTCTTCGGGTTTGTTTGTTTTATTTTAAGCGAACAATGTCTCAATTCCATGTTTCATTTTTATGAGGAAAATTCCCCTTTAGCAGTGTTTACTTGGATTGCAAAAACAAATTGGCTCTAGTGGAGCTTATCCCAATGAGGTGTTTCCAGAATGTACAAATTGCCATTTTGGGGGTGTTTTCTTTTGTTTTGTATACAAAAGCCCAACAGTTTTGTTTTAAAATAAATTTTTAGTACTAGTTATTTTCAGGTATAATACATTTTAAACGTCACCGAAACAGACTGAAAACTGGAACCTTCCAGCACCAACAGAAAGGGAGGCTTTCAGCATTAAATTATATTTCTTCTGCAGTAGCAGCTTAATGTGTATTAGATGCTTTACAATAAATAGTGATTCTGGACTTACTAACATCTTCTCCTGGAATTGTGGGGCATGGTGGAAAGACATGAAATTGAAAATGAGACCACTTACAGTTTTAATTGTAAACAATATTCTCGTTCCCTTTAAACTAAATTTTTAGAATTCACTGTAATTCTTCTGTTACACTTTCCCATAAGCATATTCTAAATAACAGTAGCAGAACTTTTTTGCAAGCAAGAATTATAAGGATATACTTTTTAGAATTAATGCTCTCCTGCATTTGGGTTTACTCAAAAGCATGTGATACTGTGCGGAGGGTATACGCAGATACCAAGGTGTTGTTTGAAACAGTTTTTTCACATGTCTTCAAGGGCAGATTTAGGATTCTAATATGTTCTAGAAGTGCAAGTGGCAGAATTTGCAGCTGTCCTTAAATGAAGGTCATAGGAGCCAGAGGATTGCTGAATCTTATCAGTGACTGTTGTAATCATCATACAGTAGCTTTCTGATTATTGCCTATAGCTGTCATACACATTCTGTGGGTTTGCTGTCTACATAACTGTTGCCTTAAACATGCAAGGCATGCCCATGTAGTCTTACATTACACCACATGCTATGCTGCTGCTTCATTCTTTCTGACTTCCCATTATTCATTATCATTAATCCCTATTCCTGTAACAAACATTTAGTTCTGGGGCAAGCTGTTCTTCCTTAGTATCTGCATGAAATTCCCTTTGACATCTCTTTTATATTAATAGCAGTTGCACACCCAGATGGGAGTAGAATAGATCCTTTTTAAAAACTAATTCTGTTTTTCTGACTGACATCCTTGGATCCTGAGCTTCTCTGACTCTGCTGCTGGTATAAAGATTGTACGTATTTAAATATGGGCAGCAGAGAGAGGGCTTCAATCTAACACACAGTTGTTGATTTTATAAATTACTTTTGTCATGGCACTGATTTTTAACCATTCAGTGGTGTAAAGTTTTACTGCATCAAGTAGGCTTCTGTAGTTTCATTTTTGCTCTTAGGAGATCACTTAATTCTTTTTTTTTTTTTCTAGAGGTTCTTAGACTTTAATAGTGTAGCCATATATTTAGAAGGATTATTCTGTAGATTGCTTTTTTTGTACCTGATCATGTGGGCCTCTTCTTATAGTTGCATACCTTCTCTTTGGATAATTATTAATGGGGAAATATTTGTGTGCACTTGGCTGTTTCCTAATGAACATGAGCAGTTAAAAAGAAAGTCTTGGTTTTGCCTATGAACAACACCTTCATGGGCCACTGTTGGCCCATGGTCTGTGGCTCTTCTGCTCTGTTTCTGATTCCTGCAAAATTTGACTTCCATGGCAAAACATCAGACTTGCCACAAGACAGATGTGTGGCTTTTATTCAAGATAGCCCTGTTAGAAAAATATACTACTTGTAGACCAGCTAGTTAATGTCCATCTTTTATGCATGTGTGTGAACACTAAAGGCTAGGAACAGAAGTTACACTCAAACCGGTATAAGTGATCAGAAACCTGTTCAAATCTGTAATGCAACAGAAGTTCAGTGCACGTAAACTGCTTTCAAAAAGTCCAAAACGGTTTAAGATAAGCCTGGATGGATATAATATCAGACTCAATTGATTTACTTTAAATCGGTTTATTTAACTTCTGTCCCAGATCCCCTCCAGATTCGAGTTATGAATATGTTTAGTATCTTAGGTGATTGGAAGTGGGAATTAAAGTACGCTGGCCAAAAAGTAATATTTCTGTTTGAATATTTTAGTTGATTTGGCTGAAACTAGTTGAGTAGCACAGTGACCTTCCCAAGTCCGTGGAAAAGGCAGTAGTTTATAACATTCACAAAAGATGCCCCTTGACAAGACGAACAAGTAAGTTAGCTCATGCACAGCATTTTAACAATAAGCTTTAAATCACTGTTCAAGACAGAATTGGGTTTAATATGTTTTACAGTAGCTAGTAAGGTGGTGTGGTAGTTGACAGATAGCTCTAGTCCAAGTGTCAGGCCCTGTCCCAAAGGTATCCTTGCATTGGGAGTTTCTTGCGTGGTTCTTTTCTCCTCCCTTTGCGGTTTTTGGATAGGATAGCGTGGAGGGGATCATTCAGAAGTAGTGGAACTTCAAAGAAGCATCACAATGATACAGATAAGCAAGAGGCAAATTAAAATAAGAAAAAAATTTACAAAGAGATCCCGGAGCCTTTGGCGTGATTGTGGGTTCACCTCAATAGTTGAGGCTCTCCGCAGGGCAGAGCGTGTTAAGTACTGGACCTTCTCCATGGCAACAGCAAAGTGGAGGACACAAGCCAGAAGATTTAGAAGTGCAGGTAAAGAACAGAAGTTGTCAGGAGCAGTGCAAAGTGCTTATTATCTTCTCTTTTTGGTTTTAAAGAATCTTTGTGGAGCTGGGAAAGCAGGAAAGTGAAGAGTTAGAAACACAAAAGTAAAGTGTTTTGATCAGTACGAGTGTAGATTGTATTACAGTTGTGATAATGCCTGAAAGGAAAAAGTGAGGTTACTTTTTATGATTATTTTCACTTGGAAAACTAGTTTTAAAGATAAAGGAGGTTCACACACAAACTACATGTGCAGCCTTATCCTGAGAGGTACTGGACATCTGCTGCTTCAGGGTGATGCTTTATTATAAAATGGGTGTTGGGGATACTTCACTTTTCCCAGAATTAGATCTATAGGTTCTAATTTTGTTCCCTTTGGAGCCTGTGAAAATATTCCCAATTTATTCATTGGAGTTGGTTTGGATCCATCAAGAGGCAATTATGGTCTTGTGATTTAGATTTTGTTTATGGCTTCCACTGACTTGGGAAAATCCATTTAATTTCTTAATAGCTCAGCTTGGACAGAGAAGAAAATAGGTCCTTGTTGATGAATTTCCATTTAAAAAGAATTGACAGTATAAGAAAATTTATCCATTCTTTGATTTGGGAAATTACTTTCTTAGAGGACAGAAATAAGATGCTCTAGATATATTAACATGCACGAAACCATTTCAGACCCACAACTGTGGAGGGAAAAAATGTAGCTGTAATTTCTTAAATCAGAGAAACTGTTTCAAACATAGTGATTTTAGGGGAATACAAGTAATCTGGTGTTTAAAAAAAAAAATAAATGCAAAAAAAGTCTCTGTCCTTCCCCCCCCCCCCCCCCCCCCCCCAACTGTTCAGAGCAATGGTAGGGGTTTTTTGTTTGTACAGTCCCCAGCAGAGTCATCACTTCCTTGACACACAAAAATGCTTCAGCATTAGTATTCATTATTCTTTGTCTCAATACATTCCCTAACCAGAGCTTACTCTTGTAAGTTTATATCAAATCATATCTAACAGGTATTCTTCCTCAGTCTACGCCCTGAAATAAGTCATGTAGACTACTACCATCCCTTCTACAGGGAACTGCCAAAGGATGAAAAACTAGTATGTGACAGTTACCTACCATCCCACAAATGGAGTAGTCATTCTGGTTGAACCATGGATGTTACAAGGTGGTGTTGAGTCTGTGTCCAGATCTGACTAAAATATCTCATAGGAAATAGCCTGTGGTCAGACTCAAAGTTTTTTTTTTAAATATATTTTCTCCTAAGCCTCTCCACAGGAGAAGTCAGTAAGTGGCTGTCAGTTTACATGTGCTATTATTAAAATGTATGGCATAACCAGGACAGTTCCACTTGCAGTACTAAAGACTGCAAGAGCACTTAAAAAAAGTGACTTCTAAAAGAAACCAGATTGCACATAAATATTTTAGTATCTTCTGTTGCTTCAATGTCATAATATCTCTTTTGAAAATTACTTGGTTTTTGTTTATTTGTTTTACTGATTTGAATTTTCAGTTGATCTTAATATTAACACAAACAGAACAACACCAGGCACATATATTTTGTTGCCATTATTTTTTTTTTTCAACCTTGCTTGACTCTGAAGTGATGAAAGCAGGTATAGCAACCTTTCAAGTATTTGCCTGGAATATTCTTCTTGCTGTCTCTCAGGCCCACACACAAGAGTTCTCATGACTCAAATGAATACTTATCCATTCTCGTAACCTAATACGGACTGAGCTGCATTCAAATGTTTATCTTCCAGGCAAGATTTGTAGTAGTTACAAATAATTTTGTTCAAGCAGCCCATGAGGTTGACACTTCACAGGCAGCCTTATTTGCTGAGAATGACTTCATCACAAATTGCTGTGTTATTAAGAAAGACCACGCACACTGAGTAAAGACACATAACTTTAGGTTGTTGGGGTTTTTTTGTTTGTTTTATAAAGTTAAAAGTAATATCCACTGTTGGAAGGGGTGAAAAAATTGCTAAGTGAAATCAGCCCTGGCTTTGGTTTTCATATATAGTACACTGCCAGCATCCAGGGGTAAGTGGGAAAGTGGTGTAAGTAAAAATATATGCGTTTGTGTTTTAGAATAAATATATGTTGAATGACTGGGGGGGGGGAGGGGGGGGGGGGGGGAAGGATGCAGTAAATAGCGTTATCATGCTAGAGAACCTGTGCAAGGTTTTGAAAGAATCGGGAAGTAATCAGTAGTAGTTCTGACTGCTGCTTTCTCTACTCGCCCACTCTCTCTGGGTGGAGAGCTTATCTGATCTGCATATAGTTATGCCCATGTGTCTAGGTTTCAGCACGTGTTTCTTTACAAGGTACATGGTTTCAGCTAGCAAACACATACCTTCTGCCTTAATCCTCCATGACTGTTGTCGCCCACCTAAGTGTACATAAAGAGAAAAAGATTCAGTGACACAGCTGTGTGGATAGCTGACAAGGTCAAAAGGAACAGTTGGGTATATTGGTGCCATGAAGAATTGCTTAATTAAAGGGAAGGCCTCCATTGGCTGTCAAAAACAGCATTAGAGAGAGACCCAAATTTAGGTAACTGGCGCAAACATTTTTGTTCAACGTCCAGAATTGTGCAAGTCACACTTGTATGCACACACAAGAGTTACAGGCCTCTCTGAGCCAAAGTGCAGCAAGAGGACAAAATATATTTGATAGCTCCATAAACCAGGTAACCTTGTATCCTATATAATGATGTGCCAAGTATTGCACAGCCCCTCCCTCCAACAAAAAACCTTTTGACTCTATTACTGTATGGATATTTTGTGTGCTATAAACTCCTGAATGGTGCAAGGCCTCATTACCTACTCTACGTGCCATTATGTGTGGGGTCCCATTTGCATGAAGTCTTACAAGAAGTCACAATCACTACTTGGTTCTTTGCTGACATCATTTCAGTGAATGTGCATGGTTATTTTTATCCGTGTTTCTGAGTGTCCTTCATACTGAGAGGTGGTATCTGAACATAGTTTAAAACTGTAGGCCATATTCATTCCTGGTGTAGCTACGTTGATTGCATTGGAGTCATACAGAATAAATTTGGCTCCGTTGGAAATGCCACAACAATTTTAGATACCGCCTGTTTCCTGTCATATGTTTACTAAATGCAGCGATGATATCAGTGAAGTAAAAGGTATTTGACACGTGCAATTTGTTGGTATCTCATGGGATAGTTAGGCATACAAAACAACCACCAGGTGATGAAGTAATTAATGGTATTTTTACTTTGATAGCATGCTCGCCAAAAAGCAACATCTGCCACTTGGTTTTTGAAAATCAGCCTCTTCAATAAATTTTAAGTACCATTGTGCATTTATGTTTTTGGAAACTTGCTTAAAATAGTCCATCACAGAACATTTGTTGGATTAGTTACTCTTCTGCTTGTAAAGATAAGTATAGGTTGGAAAGAACTAATGAGCAGGATTTGGGTTTGCTGCTGAGAACCTAGAACTTTTTTCAACCAAAAGAGAGCAAGGCCATTGTCTAGGGCTGCCCACTGCTGTATGGGGGTGTCTGTGCAGACTGGGGACATCCTAGAGGCAGATATGCAATACCCAAACCCAAATATGGAACAAAATGTATCATTCTAGGCCTGCAAGGATCTGTGGGTAGTGTGGAGACCTAACTGTTTTTCCTCCTTAGCTAAAGGAGTTTGCCCTGTATTTATCATTACTTAAAATTAAGCTCATTCTACAATATGTTGACTCATTTTGAACACCTTAACACTGTTTGAAGTACCTTTCCATTAACTGTACTGAACCTTTTGTCACCTTGAAATCTCTCCTTTATTCAGCCTAGGAAAGAGGAGGAATGCTAATTCATTAGACCACTAGAGGTCCTTTGTCTACTGTTTTATGCTCAGTTCAGTTCAATGGAACAAGTGTTCAGTGTTGCTGGAGAGACTTGTGAGGGGACTCGGCAATATATGGAAATAAATGATCTGCTTGTAGTCTGCTGCTTTTTTGTTTATTAACTGAGTTCCTATACATCCACCCATGGTATGGAAGTTCTTCTGAACACTGTTTCAGCTTTAAGTTCTATGGTTCAAGTTTTTGTTTTTTACTTTGACTGATTCAGTTGTCTTGGATAGAGAATGGTACCAGGTGGTGATCCTGCAGACCCTGCAGAAAGAGACAGCTCTTGGGGCGCACTAAAATATTCCTATATAGTGAGTGGTTGGGACAAATATGAGTATTACACAGAAAAAGGGATAGAGAGAGATCAGTTAAGGTGGTAACTGAAGCATTGGGAAGAGATGGGGTAGTTAGTGTTTTATAATAGAAATGGAGTGGACAGGAAGACAGAAGTTTGCTGAGTGAGCAGGGTGGGGGAACTGAATTAAAATAGAACATGGGGTCCAGGAAAGGAGAAATGGAAATGAACGGCAGGGAGATAGAAGGGCAGAAAATAAGCAGAGGAGGAAAGGGAAATGAGGAAAGTGTAGTGCAAACAGATGAGAAGGACTGGAAATGGCACCCCTTCTCTGTCACATTGAGAAGGAACTTTCTCCACAAGAATTAACCTAGATAATTGGGAAAAGCTGGTGCTGAAAGGAAGTCAAATGGTCAGTTGGGAAACGATCTAAAATTAAGATTGGAAGGGAAAAGATAAACTGTATCTTGACACTGAAATGGTCTTAGTATCTGTCATTTGTACAATTTGACGGGGAGAACTTACACTCAATCAGAAGGTTTAGAATCAGATTTTGCCCCTACCCTGCTTTGTAATCAGTTTTTGTATTCTTGTTTTTTATATTTTATACCCTTGCTCGAGACCAAAAAGTTTGTACTTTTTCCTGAATTTCAGGCTGATGAGAACAGAAAAGGTTAAGGAGTCTAGCAATTACTTTAATAAACACCTTATAGCATGTGTGCCTAATTACTTGCTCAGTTTCTAATTGAGCATGTATATCTTAAGTTATTGGTTTTTTAAAGTAACCACACTTTCACCTTCTCTATAGTGTTCATAACTGAATAAAATAAGCCAGGATCTCAGGTCATTGGAATGATCTATACTGAGGCACGATAGGTTATCTGGGTTAAATTTCCAACTCTCCCACAAAATCCCTGTGCAACTTTGGGGAAATTGCTCATTCTCTGTATGTATCAGTTCCCCATCCAAAATCTGGGAATATCATTGCTTGCTTTCCCCCTGCCCTCTTGGTTTTAAGAGGAAGGAGCTCTTTCTCCATCTGGGTTTTAAACTTCTCTTTGCTTTTGTAATACTAATTGACAAAGTAATAGGAAGCATATAGGTCAAATCTGAATCGAGGCAGAAGATTCAAGTAATATAAATACACATATATATTGCCACTAGGATGATCCAAAAGCAGTGTTGGGGAAAGGAGAAGGAATAGAGTGGGCACAGTTCAGGTGCTTGAAGTGATTTTGCGCCAGATATATCTGCAGAAGTTTTACATATGGCGTAGGAGATGGACTCTGAAGCTATTTCAGAGTACCTCCTTGTAAGGGGCTCTCTAGCATGTGTTTTTGTTTGATTGAACTCCATTAAAAGCAAATAAAACCAAAGGTGCCCTTATACTTGCATAGGTATCTTTGTAGTTTGCTAATACTGTAATTTGAAAATTTCAGTAACAAAAAAATTCTGCTATTTGATTATAGGCCCATCCTGGTAAGACTCACATTTAGTGTTAATCCCACATTTTTTATATATATATAAAAATTATATATATATAATGTCTGTCTGTATGTATGTATGTATTCCTGCCCTTCCTTCAGAACCAGAAACAAAGGGTCTAGTTGTGCACACGTTGCGTACAAATCCAGATAACTGGGTGTAATCTCATCAGTGCATACAGCTCTCAGAAATGCTGACAGACATTGTATATGGGTATCAACGGTGATGAGGAATATTTCTATACATTAGAATGCTGTATTCTTACACAATTTTCCTGAAACTTTAAACATGCTTATGTGATGAGGTCCATGTGGATTACAAAAAAAACCACTTTTAAAACAGGGGTAGATTTAAGTTTTAAGTACACTTTTGTGTACCCTTTCCTATGGGACAGCAATTTTCAGGTTTCTTGATCTGTGCAGTCATTGGCACTTGTCAAGTTTATGTTTATGAGAAGCACAACTATTTCTGTGTACCAAATGAATAGTTCATTTTTAAACTCATCTGCTTTATTTTAAAGGATTTCTGTACGCATTGTTTATAGAGGGCCAAATTTAAGAGGATTGCTTTTCAAAATACTCTGATTTTTTTTTTATTTATTTTTTTTATATAGTGCTCAAGCACTAACTCGGGGATGAATTAGGGAGTTGGCTTCTTGGGATGACAGTATTTGATGATTTTAGCAGAATTATCCTGCGTAGTAGTAGGAATCCTCTGGGTCAAGTTCAGGTGCCTGTATTGGCCAGCAAGAATAAAAAAAAAAAAAAGTCTTAAAAAGATTACGAAATGAAGATCTATGATTCTTAATCTTTTGCACTAGAACTTTGGATGCTGCATTTTGATGCTTCTTAAACTACAGTCAAATGTACCCAACGACAGAAAAAGTTTTCTTTTGGCACAATGTAAGTGAACCAACTTTCCAACTTAAAGAGAGCTTACTTTTCTAGGATTTGATGTTGGGTTGCTAATGGGAAGGTAAGTAAAAAAATCAATATGAAACCTTACAGTCTTTTAAAAATTTTAATAATAAAAAATCTAAAAAATCAGTTTATATTAAAAAAAAAAAAAAAAAAAAAGTAAAAGTACTGGGCAGGAATGATAAAAGTTTTAACCTTGTTGTGTAATACTGTTAGTTTAAACCAGGGGTACCCAAACTGTAGTATGCGTACTGCAAAGACATCTCTGGGGGGTACATGGGAGAAATTGTGTAATGGTGGATTTAATTTTCATTATAATAATAATTGGCATTTAAGGGGTTAAACTATAAAACATATGCTGGCAGGGGTACACAGGCATCTAGTAAATAACTGGGGAAGTTCTGGTATAAACTATTTACCCTGGGTTATCTGAAATTCTAAAGCACCATATTAAAAAGAGAGAATACATAGGGCTTTCTCGTTTTTGTTTTTTTTATTATTATTTTTATCCCTTGCCCTATGTTTTCCTGTTCTGGAATTGGAAATGAAATGCCTTCATCATTTAAAAGATAGCTATTGAGGTTTTATTTAAGATGGTATGAATAATATCGGCTGTTAAATTTGAGCAGAGCAATTTAAGAAACTGCAACTACAGTAGATTGTAATAAAAAGAGAGATCCCTTACCTCTGTTGATGATTATTAGTGAATTATAGAATTGTGTGCTCTGAGCTGTGGGAAATTGTCTGGAGTTCTCTGGCAACTTGTCCGAGTCTGTCACCAAGTTTGTGGGAACAATTGAAGTAGGTGGAGAAAAAAATAACAAAAGTTTCAGAGGCCGGGCTCATGATGTCATGCAGGAATTCAGAAGTTGTGATTGGTTGCGATACAGTCTTCTAAAGCGGAGAAGTTGCTCATCTAAACTTGTTATTGCAGTAACACATTAAACACTGGAAATATTTCCCCTTTCTTAAAGGTCCGTGAGGGAGAGGGGGAAGCTGTAAGGTGCTGTCTACTTACAGTAAATAGCAGAAAAACAGCTTGAATCATTATGAAACCGAAGAACTTAAGTAGTGGCATGATTCAGTGGAATGGCTGGAGGCTAATATATAGTTTTTCATGGAGCTGTGGCAAAAATAGAAGTCTTAAAATTCTTTGATATGGTAAATTTGCTGCATCAAGGGCAAAATGTTTGTTCATAATAAAAACCTGCCTCTGTTGAGAATTTGGTTGATACAAATTATTCCATTTCTTATAGGTCCTGAGGATTATGATGCTGCTTATTTGTTACATGCGGGTTAGTGTTATGGGGTGAATAGCTTTTGCATTATGCAGCTGATGTCCTGGGGCATACAGTGGGTTAAGGACTATCATCTTGTCTCTCCAAAACGTTTCTTCCCTACCACAGGAGAGTCTATGCAATTTATACTGCATCTCAAGATTGCCACATCCAGAGATTAGATTAAGGGGTGGAATTTTGCTCTAAATAAACTTGGATGATTTTAAGCTTCCAAATTATTCCCGTGTGATTGAAAAGATTTGCCACTCTAGCCTCTTTCCTAAATCAAGTATTTTGTAAACAAATGTCATTATCATGTAGTACACAGACAGTGGGCTAGATGCTGTACAAGTAAAAAGGAAGCACTGGTTCTTGGCCTACAGGCCATGCCCTGGCCCATGCAGTAGAAACCAGATACACAGCATCCTGGAGGACCAAGAGGAAGGTTTGGTCTTACAGCATTTTTGGGCACCTATCTATAAACGAGCGCCAAGGCTGCTCTAAAGCACTGGAATTCCAGTGTGTTGGAGGAGACTCTATTACGTGAGTCTGCTGGAGCATGGTAATTGCTGTGCTCCAGCAGCCTCCTAAATGTTATGTATCAGCGTCCCCAAACTTAAAAATGGCGGTGGTGGAGCTTGAACTAAAGCTTGTCAAATGTGCTTAGTTCAGGTGCCCCTGCTGCCATTTTTAAGTGCAGGGATGCTGATACAGAAGACGTGACAGTGCTTTAATTAGCATGGCTCTTGGAGCCACTCTAATTAAAGGTTCCCCCCACCCACCTCCTGAGCATGTGTATAAGTGCCCTTTTTTTCCCCAAGTAAGCTCTATTTTGACTTTTAGTTTAACAGAGTCAAGCCTGTGAAACTGTTAGAATGGATTGTAATGTAATCAGAGTTTAACTATTTTATTCTAATACAGTAAATTTGAATTGTCCTGCAAAATCAAGAACAGAAAATTTGAGGTTATTGTTTCAAATCAAAGTTAATTGAATGGGTCCTTAGGGAAGGATGATGATTCTTCACTTGTGCAAAAGGCCTCATAAGTCACTCATAGTGGCAATGTTAGCATTCTACATCTCTGACACCAAGATGTATTTGCCCTTTATAAAGAAGGCATCCTGTATTTATCACATGATGCAGTCCAGCAAAAGTACAGCTACCTTTGAAGGCTATACCATGCACCATGCCCTTTTATGAGAGAGAACATGTACCACTGTTGCTAAAACTGTCTTCTGTTTAAGTTTACTTGCTTTCCTTCTGATCTTTTTTAAATCTCATTTATTTTGACTATAACATCAACATACTATCCATATACAGATGGATTTGGGGTAAAAGTAGTATTTTACTGTCATTTTGTTACTCTTTTTTGTGAGTCTTGCTTTTGTTGTTGGATTGTTGCTGCTTCAGGGGTTCATAAATATAAAAAAAATAAAGAATGATTTTTTAATGACATTGGAAAGAAAAGTTTCCCCTCAAATCAGTAGTTTATTTTTTTAATTATGATACTTGACATAAGATATTCCAAGGAAATAAAGAACAAATAAGTACTATGGATTTAAAGTTGGCCTCTTAAGGAATTTCATAATCCTTTTCTGTGCTTTCTAAAACTCTTTGAGGACTGTCTTTAAAAAAAAAAAAAAATAAAATATTTGAATATAATTATACAAATTTAGATTAAATGAGTCAATGTGAAAGTATTGTGTTGTCTATACTGCTTGGAGACATACTGATTGTGTCTCTCATGACGTGGGGAAGGGCAGTTTTCCATGGTTTTTATGTTTCTATAATGCCCAAAGTGCTTCCTGTTTGATGTACTAGTGCAACAAGCTCGAGAAGTTTATACAAGTGTATGCTGTGCATCTCTTCGGTGTACATTTACAAAGTACTGGACACCAATGGACCAGTTGAGGACGTGAGAAAAGAAATGTTTTTAAAAAGGGATACGCGGTAGAGGCTTTGGTCTGCTTCATTTTGTTCTGCTGTACAAAAATGTGCAGCTGTTGCTTGCATGGCCTTAAATGGAGATGATCTGGGCCTTCTCCAGAGCAATTGGGAATCTGCCACAGACCACGTTTCTGTTCGTTTATTTAGAGATCCGGTTGATTTTTTTGGGATAATATCCAAGGAGAAAAGATGTTGTTACACTTTGTGTAGCAGCTCCTCATTTAAATAGTAGTAAAAGAAATGTTTTTAACTTCTTGTAAGTTATTTTGAGATTGGTTTGTGTTTCATAACCTACTTGTTATAAAATGAGGCAAATGTGGACATTGACCACCTGTGTCATCCATCTAAAACATCTGAGATGTTAATTTGTGATTTCATAATCTATAGTTAAGAATAGTAATTAACATTAATCAGAGCCTTGTTTGATTACTTTTAAACCACAAAAACAAAGGAATTTGTCAACAGCACTGAACTTGGCTGAAGCCTTATTTCATATTGTTATGCCACTTGTCTCTCATGACGTTGTATAAATTGAAATATATCTTTACAGAGGCACATTCCAAAGTAAATATGGCATTACTCACTATGTAACTCACTGAAACTTAAATATCATGTTTGTTCAGGCTAAACATAATGGAAGAATGAGGGGACATGAGGAGGGTCAGTACTGCTAGTACTACAAACTACTCCAAAAGTCAAACCTGGGTTCTTTCACTTTTGTTCATTGTCACGAGTAATATATTTTGCAGGCCAAATTTTGCCCTTAGCGATACCTGTGTGTAACCTGCACTGTTCCATGAAGTGATTTCAGAGGTGTCCCTGAGTGTAATTTAGGAACCATTCTGTTAATGTATAAGAATAGGAACTAATTCATTTGAAATAACTTTTGTCATAGAACTCAGCAGGCAGGATTCTAGCACATCATATTATGCTGATTTACATTCAAGTTGATACTACATAGTTACACCAGTTGAGGATTGTAAGGCAGGCAAGCTGAGAGAAGGTTGCATTTTTATATAAGTGTTTTTAAGAATAGAGATTGCACTTTAGGAGATGGTTTTACAAGTTTAGTTGTTTTTCCATTTTTCTTTCTTGAATGTTAGTGGTAAGGGTTAAGAGATCAGTCTTGCTGCCTCTTTTTTGTTCTATCCTAAATGCCTCCTGGATATGACTCTTACCTTCTTAACAACCTATAGGAGAGTGTTGCAGTAAACACCTTCCTTTTATTGGACCTCTGCTATGAACCCCAACATGTCATATCAGTAGTGCATTTATTCTCTTCTGGTACAAAGTGTACAAGTTCTGTCTCTTCCCTACATGTTAGAATGTAATTCAGGATATTCCTCTTTATATGCTGTTTGAGATGGTGGCTGGTTAAATTTAATTCTGTCATTTGATATTAGCAAGCTGAGAAAAAGTCTCTGGCAGTACTCTATAGGTATACATGGACAGCTAGTTAAAAATCTCACAGAAACTAATGGAATGGCAAATTCTTGCATCCTTGAGTTGTATCTTGCATGGTCAGGATATGTTTTCCTTTTGGAAAGCTAAAGGCTCTGACACTATTAATTTTGGTTTGTTACTAATTGAAGACGGTTTCAGTAAAGATCAGCTTTAATATCTTCATTTCCTTTAGCCAGTGAAATGGTAATGGACTTTTAAGGAGCATGATGCATTATAGGGCTATCCTCTTTTTTTTTTAACTTGATGCTTTGACATATTCCTAGGTGGGGAGGAGCTCCCCAAAAGAGACTTGTGCCCTTCTGCTATGAATGGGGTTTTTTTAAATTTCTCCCTCCCAATACATAAGTTTTAATTTTTTAGATATCAGACATTTAGCATAAACTGAATACATTGTAATATCTTACTTTACAAGATAGTATTAAGAGCATAAACATGCAGATCCTACAAAAAAGGTTCTTTTTGTATGGATGCAGTAAAGTTTTGGAATTCAGATACTAAAGTATTCATTAAATTCAACAAAAACAGACTGGTAACTAGTCTATTGTAGAGAGTACCATTTACAGGCTATCTCACTGGCAAAGAGAAAGGTGTTCCAGCAGAGAATATTCAAGGAAATAATAATGGTTTCAGCTTCGAAGTGTTTTTGGTTAACACTATGCTTGTTTTCCCGTTATGATAATAACATCTAAAGGTGCATTCTAGTTTGAGGCTTATAAGTCTTCTCAATTGGTCTGGCTTGCTTAGTTTGCATTAGGTGATATGCTGTAATTCTTGTACCTAAGAAAGCATGTTGAGTGTCTTTCAGATAAACTGTTCCAGGAAGCATAAAGATTAGCTGTGTTCTTTGACATGTTATGAGTGACGGATGAATGCAGAGACAAAGGCATATGAAGGAGAGATAAGACTTGAAGACTACATTCCAATTGCCAAGTGTGGTGATGCTGAATTATCTTCACTTGAAGAGTAATTACAGAGCGGAGGACTAAGATTGTTTGTTGGACTTCAACTGTTCTGTATCTTCAGCAGAAGTTTCTTTAATGGAGGAGCATTTGAACTTTTTGCAGCTGAGGGACACATTAGCAATATGTAAGAGCTTAAGGGGCATATCACAGAGAATATTGCAATTGCTTTTCTCTATACATGTAAATATCAGGGAAATTACAAGTTCCCTTAAGCAATGATCTGTTCTGCTCCAATGGTCACTCAGTTTGGATCAAGATAGAGATTGCATAGACAGTTAGCTGATGGGTATCTGAGCTTCAAAATAAATACAGGCAACTCCTGCTTAGCGCTCTTAATTGGTTCCTGAAAAACTGAGTGTTAAGTGAAATGAGCGTTTAGCGAAACCAGAAGTATTTGACGACCCAAGATGGCGACCGCAATTGTTTTTAATGACCTAAGATTTTCATAGATTTCTTAGATTTCAACTGCGAGCATTATAACAAAACTCACTGAGTGCTAAGTGAAGTCGGGTATCAATTTCAAATGAGCATTATAGTGAAACAGCATTAAGCAGGGGTTGCCTGTAGGTTGCATTTGGCCTGTAGTCTATTTTTAGTTATGCCAATTTTTGTCATTTGTTTCCTTCTCGCTTCCTGGTCCACTAGTCTTGAGTTTTGTTTTTGTGTGCAATGTTAATATACAGACAAATAAGAACCCTTTGGTGGATTTTCAGCCATTATTTATTTCCCTTTTTATTGCCT